TTGCTTATGCAACACCCTTTCCCTAATTATTAAAATCACAGAAAAAAGGGGGGAAGGCATTAAGGTTGCTATGAAACATTAGCCAAATAAACATCCAATGCCCTAATCTTAGGTAGCTTTTAAGTGAAAATCCAAGTTAATTAAAGCCCTTAAAGTGACATGAACTCTCATGGAGTGGACAACTGTGAAAGATGTCAATCAGAATCTCTTTTGATATTTCACTAGATTAAGAAATTGGGAAAGAAGCATCTATTAAATAATACAAAGTAGTAGAGATGTTGCCTCAGGGGAGTGACTGACTATAAGTGTGGGCCTCATTTGGCACATGCCTCTGGACACTGTTCAGGACCAAGTAGTGCTGCCATGTAAGAAGCAATCTAGTTCAAGAAAAGCCAGAAATCCAGACAGATTATGAAATTCCCCTTGTTTTTAAGTGTGGAAACAGGAATTTTTAAAAAAAGATTCTAAGGACAAACAAAACATCTGTAGACTGGATATATCTGTGGATTGCCAAAAGAATACTTTATAACTGCCCTAAGGCAGGGAATGTGTTGACCTTTGGAGCCAAGTGGTCCTAAGGATGTAGAATCAGGATGCTGGGAGGAACCCTGACCAATTTTCACCTCACCCAGGAAGATAACTAAATGTTTATAACATAACTGGGCTTGACTCATCTGTAAATGATCACTTGAGGCCTGTGGAAAAGTAGTCCTTACAGTGAGAATGATCAACGTTGCTTTCTGTTTCCTCTGGCCAGCAGCTCACACCACCAGTTAAGAGAAGCGACCAGGCTCTCGGCCTTAGCACCATCTTTCCTTGTCACTCCTGCGCCACGAGAGCGAAGTGGAGGAAGAAGCGAATGCGCAGGCTGAAGCGCAAGAGAAGAGGCCGCAGAGGTCCAAGTGAGCCGGCGGGCTGCCAGAGGCCGGGCTGGGAGCCGGTACAAGCTGTTGGACTGTGTGCTGCTGCCAGCATAAGTCTGCTCGCAGAGACACCGCCTCCAGGACTGCTGCCTTTCTCACAACCTACAACCCTGACAGTCCCGCTGGGCCTGCGGTGTCCTGGACTCCCTCTGTTCTCACTGGCCAAGTGTAACCCGGTATACAATAAACCATCTTTCTCGCTGTCTTTAAAAAAAAAAAAAGAGAAGCTACCAGGAACTTCCTCAGGCTTGTTCTGGAAGCATAAACTCCTGGAGACTACACAGCTGAGTACGGCTCTCATTGTGGTTACTGTTGTGGTATTATCAAAGACACCAATCCTGTCTATTGCCTACCTCACTGCCCTACTGTGGTTTTGGACGAACAAGCCTAAGTCAGAGCCTCTATAAAACCACATGCTGCCCTTATGCTGATTCAAAAGCTCTTTATACTACAATCTTCCCCAACCTACTATACAAACAGTTGTTACCTGGCCACGAAACTGGCAGTCTTGTCAACGATATTCCTGACCTCTGGAGGAGGGTAAATGATCCCTACCACCGGTTTGGAAGGGGTGGATTCCTCCTTTGATGATGCTTCTTCTTCAGCTGGCTGTGAAAACAGAAAAAGGAAATAGGATCTTCAAGTTCCTGATTTGGGTATCATAAACTCTGTATCAGGCCCCAGCATTTCTCCATAATATGACCAACAAGAGTCTGTTGCAGACTTCTTATATGTACTTATGAAGTCATTCCTAAGAATTAGGGAAAACAATGGCTTCCTTGGTTCTCCTTTAGACAGACATCTGGTGTCATCAGATACACATTTTCTGTTTACTTGCCAAAGAGTTAGGGCTCAAATTCAGAGCCTTACACACATACAGAGCTAAGCAAGGTACTGAACTATATATCCTTAGCCTCCAAATCTGAATGTAACCCAATGTCCATATGATTTAGACTCAGGGATGCTGACCACAATCTAAGAAACAAGAATTCAAAAGGCCATGTCTTTAGCCCTGAACCTAGTACTATGTCTCACACAGAACACTTAGTGATTGCCTGTTACCAAGCAGGAAAGTTACTGGGCAGCAGTGGTGCACGCCTTTAATTCCAGCACTCGGGAGACAGAGGCAGGCAGATCTCTGTGAGTTCAAGACCAGCCTGGTCTAAAGAGTGAGTTCCAGGATAACCTCCAAACTCACAGAGAAACCCTGTCTCGAAAAACCAAACAAGCAAAGAAAAGCAGCAGCAGAAGCAGTAAAACCAGAGAGCAGACCAGTGGTTTAATGGGTTTACCCTGCATGAGGTCCTAGGTTCTATACTCAGCACAAATAGAAATAAAGAGAAAAGAAGAAAAAGTCTGGCTGATAGCTCATTCTGTCTTGGCTGTCCATTTTTCTATACATCCATTCCATAAACCTAGCCACTGTTAAATGGATAAATGGTTTGTGGAGCTTCAACAGAGTTCAACACCAATGGTTCTGTAATGTTTTATCCCTGGTACTTTATCCACCAGCTTCTTCCTCTCAGTTAAGAGCTGGGCTCTCCAGGCCTTCATGCTCCTTTGGGCTGCTGTTTTCCCTGTTCTTCCTCTGGCAGGTGAACATACCAAGTTACTATTTCATCTTCTATCTGATTCATTTACTTCAAGTATTCTTTTCATTTGTTTGAGACAGTGCTTCTTTGTGTAGCACTTCTGACTGTCCTGGAACTCGCTCTGTAGACCAGGCTGGCCTCAAACTCACAGAGATCCACCTGCCTCTGCCTCCCGAGCACTCATTTCAAATATTCTTAGCAAAGTAAAAAATACTGTCTAAAGTCAACTACAGCTGCAGGAGCCTCTATGTCTTCTGGTTTATGTATTTTACCTATAGCACTGGAAACCTCTAAACCTGTCGGATATGACTCCTTGGGGATCGAATGACCCTTCTTTCACAGGGGTCATCTAAGACAGTCCTACATTATCAGATATTTACAATTAATGACAGCAGCAAAATTATAGTTATGAAATAGCAATGAAAATAACTTTATGGATTGGGGTCATGAAAAAGAACTGTATTAAAGGGTCGAAGAATTAGGAAAGTCAAGAATCACTGCTCTAAACATATGGTTTATAATTTCTTCTCAGTGTTCACACTGTCTTCACCCAGACACCCTTGAAAACTATGTTCTACACTTCCTTTCCTACTTTAGGCTGAAAAATTCTGCCTAAATCAATCTCCCAGGTAACTCTTGAATGCCAACAAGCTTGAGACTGAACAGACCCCAAGGTACTTTCATCTCTAACCTAGAATGGTTTTCCAGTCACATAAGCCAGAAATCCTAAATAAATATTCATCAAACACAAAGTACATGTCAGGCACTTGGACTGTATTAACTCTTAGGATCCTGATGACAACCTTGAATAGGTATTCTTATTCCCATATTACAGACAACAGGGGAAATAACGAACTTGTGCCTGTCCCCACAGGCAGAATCATGGATTCTAGCACACCATTGGCTGGAGAACCTATGTCATCAGTCATTCCGTGACAATCACATGCCCACTCCTCTTGCCCTAATCTAGATCAGACCCTCAGTGTCTTTTGAATACCATAACTATTTCTCTTCCCTCTCTCTTTACATCAGTGTAAGCCTAAATTTTTTGAAACACAAATGATGTCACTATCCAGCTTAAATGTTTCCCACTGTCTTCAAGGACATATTCAAATCCTAATTGCATCTCCTACCACCATTCTCCCAAACCTGCATTTGAGCCACACGCGTTATGCACCATTGCCAAAAGAGGGACCATCTGATTCCTACTTTGGTGGTTTTGTAACTATTATTTGGTATCACCTTGTCTGTTTTCCCCCAGTGTCAAGGAAAATGCACATAGGCACACAAATACACACTAGTTGGGAGTAAGAGCCCAAAGCAATAAGCACATAGTATGTACCTGATAATGCATGTTGAATAAATAATTTCCTTTCCCCATCATTGTTTTTTCGAGACAGGGTTTCTCTGTATTGCTTCCCCATCACTCTTCATTCTTCTAAAATAGCCACTCACCTCTCACTCCTGTGGACTTCCCTTACATTTATTAAGCAATGCTGATTAAATTCATGGCTTATTTATATTCAACTTAGCTACAATTGTTTACCCACATACTTCCTCCTCAGCTGTTTGTGAGCGTTGGGGGTCTCACCCTGTATAGTCCACGCTAGTACTCAATTATCGATCTTCCTGCCTCAAACTCACAAAGGCTGGGATTTCTGATGTGTGTCATGTGCCCAGCTTTTAATGGTTGCCTGACATTTATCATTACACTGACCCAGACAATAACCACTGGGTATCTGTGCCTATCTATATTTTCAATACTCTGGGCTCTCCTAAGGCAGGAGTTATGCCACGTTCATTCTGTCACGATGAAGACTGGCACCTTGTCTGGTTTAGGGAAAGCACCTCGAAGGTGTTTAAAACAAACAAACAACAACAAAAAAAAAAACAGGCTAGGAAATTAGAGATTACTAGACAAAGGCTAAGCGACTGGTAGGCCCAACGCTTCTCACGTTTTAACGGACTAACTTGGGAAATGGCTAAAATACATATTCCTCCTCAGGTTCTAACAAGCCCCCAGGTGAAGACGGGGCTGTAAGTCCGCGGGCTACTTTGAGAATTCCGGTTCCAGGGAGTTTGGGGGGACCGGACAGCAGCGCAGCGCGCTGGCTCCTGGGACTTGCAGTTCTCCGAGTCCTCCGGGGCAGCCCGAACGCGAGTGCCGCAGCGCCCGCGCGGGAGGGGAGGGACCAGGCCTACCCCGGCTTGCAGGCTCAGGAGCTCGGGGCGCCGTACCTGTTTGGGGTCTGTGGCTACTGGCGGCGGCGGAGGCACCGCCTGCACGGGTCCGGCCGGCATGACTGCGACGCTCAGGGCTGCCAGTCCGCCTCACGGCGACAACCGATGCAGCGGCAAGGTCGAGGTCCCCACACGAAGGCTTCAACGCAACGGCAAGATGGCGGCGACCCAGAGAAAAGCCGCGGAAGCTAGTGAACACATTTCCGGCCACGCCCCCTGGCCGTGGCGCACTTCCCACCCCGCCCCGCGGGCTCCGCGGCGCGCTACTCCGTTGCCATGGCAGCAGCCTGGGCGCGCCGCTAAGGGTTTCGAGGGATCCTAGGAGCCACAGGCTCTCCGGGGGGGAAGTTCTGTGAGCCCGCCAGACTCAGAGCTGAGGCTGCGACGCCGGAGACAGGTGAGCCATTCTACACCATCCGCTGAACTCCCCTCGCGACTGTAGTCCGTTCCTCGCTCCCAGCCACCGCACCTTCCAATTCCCCGGCCCCACTCCAGTCTTCCTTCCCCCTTGACCTGTCATTTTGAAGACTTTTCCTTCCCTTAGACCCGTTGCCATAAAGCCCCACCTAACTACACCTTTAGCCCCCTCCCCTTTTTTTCTGTTCAGCACAACCTCCGGATGCCGCCTTACAGAGCCCAAGCCCGCAATTCCTTAGGGTCTCTTCCTACTGGCCTCTTTTCTAAGTTGCGCCTCTCGCTTCCTGGAGACAAGCCTCCAGTCACTTGCTTTTCTCTCCTGAGATCCTCTAGGTCCCCATTCTCTCTCCCCTCCCAACTCCGGAATACAGAAAGAGGATTCTGAGCTCATCCCGCCTCACTTCACCTGTGAAATGGGGCAGCAACAAAACGCCCAAAGTCCTTGTCCACTGTAGCTGGTTATTTCATTGTTATTAAGGTAGACTAAGGACAGTTAGGATCAGTTGAATTTGTATTTACTACGAGCCAGATTCTGTGTCAAACCCTACAGGTATCGCATCATTTGCTCCTTACAGCACGCTGTTTACTGGTGAGGACCGCGAAGTAAGAATCTATACTCACGGGGAAAAAGTTCTCTACGTGAGGGGGGGAAATCCAGCATATTAGGACCAGTTTTCTCTATTAATTTGATGTTTATTGCTATGCCTTCCCTGTATCACTTTCAAGTCCCAAGGGTTTCAGACAATAGCTAACTCAGGTCAGAGATTGGCAATTGCCATGCAGGTGGTTATAGAGTTACAAAATATTTTCTTCGTAGTGACTGAACGTCAGTGGACATACTGGCTGGGAAATAAGTGTGGTCTTCAACCATGCTGTTGTTTGAGAGGGAGGACTGAAGGTTGAATGGAGAGAAAGGTTCCTGTCCTTCTGAAAACCTGAAATGGCGTTATTGGCTGCTGCCCCTATAATGACAATGTCGGTTCCTTAGAGCCATCACCTATGTGGTCACAGGTGCAGTTGAAAGCTTCAGGTTGACCATTCATTAAGACCTGGGAATTACAGAGAAAGTCCATGTCATACGCTCCTTCACTTCATAGTGTGCTTCCCACACTGTGAACCTGCATAAGCTCTAACTTAAAAAAATCAATAGAAAGTAACCTTGGCTATTGTGTGTGCATACATGTTTGTGGCGCTGACAATTGACCCAGGGCTTCATACATGTTAAACAAATGCTGTACTAAGCTACAATGTCTGCTTAACTTTGAATATTCTTGATATTTTGACCCAGAATCTCATGGGAATTAATATCCAAGATTGCCCCAGAAAACAAATCAGTATTTTTTGCATGGGGGGGGGGACAGAATGTCTCGTGTTGTTGTTTTCTTTATTGTCTCCACTTCACTCCTGAGGGACATAAAAATCTCTTGGGCTGGATAATCTCACCAGAGGCAGTTACCAAGTCAACACATGGGAGATATGAGTCAATTGTATTTGTTTGTGTGAGTATTATGGACAACACTCCTTGCAGGGAAACTCAGATATAGTTAGTGGCTCCTGAAGGATCTCTCTCCCTTCCTCCTAAGTTTCACGTTGTAACCCAGACTGGCCTTCATCTTGAGTTCCTCCTACTTTAGCCTCCTAAGTCCTAGGATTACAGGCCTGTGTCACAACGCCCTGCCTGACCCTAGCAAGCAGTAGATGTTTAATCCTGTTGTTGATGGGCATGTTGCATTCGAGCCTCTTCTACACCTGTACTACACAACACAGTTACCACTAGCCCCACGTAGCAAGTATTTGAAATAGGGCAAGTGTGGTAGTGCCACTTTGAATGCCTGCACTTGGGAGGCAGAGGCAGGTGGATCTCTTAGTTGAAGGCCAGCCTGGTCTATATGGCAAGTTCCAGGCCAGCTAAGCTACATAGTGAGACCCTATCAAAAAATGTATTTAATAAAAGTTTTCCTATGAGGGCTGAAAGATGGCTCAGAGACTAAGAGTGACACTACTATGGTCAGGCTGAAGACATGTATGATCCCCAGTCTTTCCTCATCCCCTTCCTCCAGCCTGGGGCATGTCTTCTCTTGCAGGCAGCTCCCACTCCATCTCCTAGGAAGCCCTCCTGATATGCCCACTCACTCTCTTGTGCATCTACTCCTAGGGATGGGAGGGCCGCTTGCGGCCAGCCCTGTACCTGAACCAGGAAGCCAAGAGCCAGAAAGCCAGGCATCCGCATGAGCCCCAGACCTCAGAGCTTAGTCCAAGAGGTGGACATAGTCGGTCACTCCAGCTTCATGGGCAAACATCTGTGAGAGGTAAGGGCAGAAACCCAGAGTCCACTTCAGTCTGCAGCATCACCTTGGAGACCTGTGAGTTTCCCAGTACTTTTGGGCCCAGGTCTCAGACTAAGTGACTGGGTCATACAGTAATGAGCTCAAAGGGCAAGGCTCACATGTTCACAGGGGTGTGGTGATGGTAGGGGTAGGGGGTGGAGCTGAGCATTTCCTGTCATGCTGAAGCTTTGGTGTGTTTTGGCTGTGTCAGAGGAAAGGGTAGGTACCATGTCTATCATGGCTCCACACTTGAACCTGACTGGGAACAAAGACAGAATGATGAAAAGACCCAAAGAAAGGCTGTGCATTGGGATAGAGAAACCGCAGCATCCCAGAAGCTCAGCATGTTTATATGGAGTTGGACAGGGAGGCAAGGTTATTGCATACAGCCAAACAAGGAGGTAGGGTTATTATAGATACACAAGAAGGCCAGGTTTATGGTATATAGGTGGATCGAGGAGATGATATAGCTAATCTTGGTAGGCACAGTCTTAGTAGGGGGGCAATACTCGAGCTGTAAACATCAGGGGGAGAAAGCTATGGTGGGTTTAATCTGAATATGCTGTCAACGCTCTTACTCAGTACCCCAAGGAAGGTTTTGCCATTTCCCTCTGGGATGGGGCTTGGGAGTCCCATATCAATAGCATCCATTTATTCAGGACTTCAGTTATTTAGGGCTTTCTCTGTTCCCTACAGGTAGAAGATTCATTCCTGTCTCCATATAGCAAGGGGGCCTGGGACACACAAGTTCTCTGGAGGCAGGGTAGCCACGGAGCTGGGTAGGTGAAAGGGAGGCTGGGCCTAGAACCGGGCTCTAAAAGGCCTGTCACTCATGATTTCTCCTTAAATCAGAGGTGGAACACCCAGACAGGTCACGGGGTTGATAAGGTTCTCCTGGCAATGGCCACATCACTTTGGCTGACCATGGTTCCTCTCTCAGCCCCAGGAGTTGTGGGGATGGCACACCTGCTAGGCAGCCAGGCCTGCATGGACAGCCTGCGCAAGGACCTCACTGACCTTCAGGGCACCATTGTGGATGTGTTCTCCCGTGCTGGGCCCGTGCGCTTCCCATCCTGGAAGTTCCCTGACCGTGTGGCCTGTGATCTTGACATGGTGGCCCTTCTGGAGCACTATGACCACGTGCCAGGTGACCCTGAATTCACACAGTTGTCCCATGCTGTGCTGCTGGAGCTGGTCATTGACAGGTGAGGCCTGGACCAAACCTAGACATCTAGAGATGCTGAAGCCTGCCCCTTGTACCAGTAGCAGCTGCAGGAGCCCCTTCTAGAGGTGCTGACAGTATGGGTAGCAACAGTAAACCACAGACTGAATAGATAGGTCAGGGGCCACAACTCAGGACCCTCAGAGTAACCCCACTTTTTATTCTACGCTGTACTATGCTGCCCTGTCCTGTCTACTTCAGGGAATTCTTGTCCTTACCCGACTCTGCCCTCTGCTGTTGGTCCCCACAGTACCACAGCTCTGTCTGCTATCACCTCAGGGTTCTGTGTGTCCGGAACACTAGAGCTGCTGCTTAGCATTTTCATCCTAGGCTCTGCCATTTTGTGGGCTGTGTTCCTGTGGCCCTGCTAGGAAGAGGCCAGTTCCTCCCCTGTCACTCCCCCCATCTCTACATTGTCATTACGTTTCTTCCTGGGAACCACAACCCAGGCTTCTAACACTCAAAAACTGTCCATGCCAGTAAAACTGTTGGGGACCAGAGGACCAGAGGGCATCAGAAATGTTGAGGGGTGCCGTGCCTGGAGATAGGAAAGTCAGGGCACTCCTGTAAGGCCTGGGGAACCTGAGTCTGAAAGCAGTGTTTGTCCCTCTGCAGGGCTGGGTGCCTATGAGCACAGAACACTTGCTCTCCCAGGGCAGGCATCGAGGCCTGCCTGCTAACCCCTTCCTGCTCTGGCAGAGCACCCCTTCACCCACCAAGACCCATCATTCACTCGTTTCCTGTAAAGCAGTTGCTGACATACCTCCCCCACCCTCCCTGGCTGAGCATTGTCTACTTCTGAGTTAGTACTAGCTTCCTTTGTGTGTAAGTGACTTCTGTGTATAAAAGTAACTCCTGCCAGAGGTTCCTGAATCTAAGCTGAGCCTGGGAACCCTAGGGTGAAGGCCATAGCCTTTAGCCAACAGTGTGGCATTTTGAGATGCTCAGGACATTCAATGGTGGGACCACGGCTATGGCTACATGTATCACAGCATTCACCACCACTGTCTGAGAACAGACACTGTCTGAGACACCCAGACAGGTCACGGGGTTGATAAGGTTCTCCTGGCAATGGCCACATCACTTTGGCTGACCATGGTTCCTCTCTCAGCCCCAGGAGTTGTGGGGATGGCACACCTGCTAGGCAGCCAGGCCTGCATGGACAGCCTGCGCAAGGACCTCACTGACCTTCAGGGCACCATTGTGGATGTGTTCTCCCGTGCTGGGCCCTGTCTGAGAACACAGACTGTTCTACTGAATTCCCTGCTGTGTACTAATTCCCCAGTGTTGTTGTCCAGAGGCCCAGAGGGCAAGTCTGCAGGCAGTGGGTACCTCTTCCTCTGCCACTCCCTACCCCCTGCAACAAGATAAGCTTACTTACTTTCCAGGTGTGTGTGTGGCAAAGATACAATTCTGCCTTTAAGGTAAGTCTTGGCCATGCCAATGCACACTTTCCAACACCTCCTTTCTCTAGTATTAGCTTGACTCTAAACTTGAACTTGGCGGTTAGAGAGACCTAGCTGTCTGTACCCCAAGTCTCAAGTGTCACAGAGGCTGCTCAGCCTGAAGGAGGCACCCTGACTGGAACCAAAACATGAGCATGTGCCTCTGCCCTGCCCTATTTCCCCTGTGACTTTGGGGTACTCTTGTTGTTTAGGGGGTCTCATTTGTCATCTGTAAAAGTAAGGTGCTATTCACCCAGATCCTTTGGAGTCCTGCTGCATTTCCTCAGCTCCTTGGCCAAGTGGGGAACCATGAAGCAGAAGGCACTTCCATCCCGGAAGCTGTACGAGGGCACCCACTAGGAGTGGCCCCTGGTTAAATCTGAAGTGGTTTGAGAATGAAGATGACATAGACTCTCTCTAGGTCGATCCCCCAGAGCTCAAAGACCCCAGTTGTATGTAGACTGTGTTAGCACCAGTGTTGGCCCCAGCCCACCTAGCCCCTCTACCCACAGGCTCCTGCTGCTGCTTCAGAGCTGTGCCAGCTACTTGGAAAACCTCAGCTTGGAGCAGATGATGCCTCCTACCCGAGCTGCAGGGCCATGTATGTCTGTGGGACTCACAGTACGCCGCTTCTGGAGCAACCTGCTGAGGCTAGGCATGCTCTACCAGCAGGCAGTCCCCCAGGTGGGTCATTTCAGCTCTTAACTGTGGCCATCCTCATACTGATACAATTCTAGCTTCTTACCACACCACTGCACGCTCTGCACCCTTCACTGGCTCCCACTGCACGCTCTGCGCCCTTCACTGGCTCCCACTGCACGCTCTGCGCCCTTCACTGGCTCCCACTGCACGCTCTGCGCCCTTCACTGGCTCCCACTGCACGCTCTGCGCCCTTCACTGGCTCCCACTGCACGCTCTGCGCCCTTCACTGGCTCCCACTGCACGCTCTGCGCCCTTCACTGGCTCCCACTGCACGCTCTGCGCCCTTCACTGGCTCCCACTGCACGCACTGCGCCCTTCACTGGCTCCCACTGCACGCTCTGCGCCCTTCACTGGCTCCCACTGCATGCACTGCGCCCTTCACTGGCTCCCAGCAGCCCAGCTGGAACATTCACACTCTAAAACCCCCATTCAAGTCTTGTGGGCTTGGCAGTTAGGAATGCAGGCCTTGGGGATCCAGTCTGACTCACTGGCTTTGCTATTTACAGAGTGGGACTTTGAGAAATGCCTTCCTACTCTGAACCTCAGTTTATTCATCTATACAATGGCCTTATATGAGCCCCATTTGATAACAGGTTATCCCATAATCCCCACAGTCACCCAGTGAGAAAGGACATCATCACTGTGAGGGAGAGGAGTCTAAATCGAGTGGTTATAGTGGCATGAGAGCAAGCAAGAGCCTGTTAGAATTAGCTGTAACTGCCACCATTACCCTCCCAGTTTCATGCATATATAAAGCCTGGGGTGGGTGAAGGGAAAGCAGAAAAGAGGCCAGGGGTTGGATGAGTCAGAAGAAAGGGAGAAGGTCCTCTGTGATGTGTGCAGGTGTCATATAACATCTGAAGTCTGAGCATTGGGCAAGGCTGTCACCAACATCTCCGGGGAACTGGTTATCTGCCATGCCCACCTCTCTCACCTACTTTCCCTTTCTTTTCCTGACCCCAGAAAAGAGCAAACCAAGGGGAGATTCCCATCTCCAAGCCCACGGCTAAGGGTGAACCAGCCAGGAGCCCCGAATGCATGACTGCCAAGTTCATCAAGCCTCCTTCCCCAGTGCCAGGCTTGCCCCTGCTCTGCCCAGGGCTGCAGAGCATCCCCGTCAGAGTCTCCGTGCGAAGCCCTGCTGGGACCTCCGAGAAGACCAAGAGTGTCTACTCCCAGACCATCGAGACAGCCTTGGTGCCCTGTGATGCTTGCACCAGTGTCCAGGGCAGCTTGTGGGAGGTGGGCAAGGTAGTCATCAGCCTGTGTCAGAGCCAAAATTTGCCTTCGTCCTTGGGCCAGTTCCAGAAGTTGGTGCAGGACAGCATGGGGCTCAAACCACTGCCAGCTGCCACAATGGGCCACTGGGCAGCAGAACAGAGTAAAGATCTGACTCGTCTCAATAAGCATGTGGGGGCCCTCACTCAACTTGTCGGGCCCCTCAGGGCCCAGCTGGAAGAGGCTGAGGGGCAGAAGGATGGACTAAGGAAGCAAGTGGGCAAGCTGGAGCAGGCTCTGCGGCAGGAGAAAGGAGAGCGGCAGCGGAAGGCAGAGGAGGCTGAGAGGAGCCTGGCCAAGTGCGAGCATGACAGGCAACAGCTGCTCACAGGTCTACCTCCCAGAGGCCAGACACTGCTGTAACCTTACGACAATCATCCCTCCTCCCCTTCAGAGACCAGGCTTTGAGTCTCAATAGTCTGCATGAAGGAAACCCATGTTGGGGAGTAGGCAAGAGTCCAGGAAAGGAAGGCAGCAAGAAGGGTGTAGACGTCTAGTTGGCAGCCCTGTGAACAGCTGGAGCAGTCTCCTCAGGGATACTTGGAGACTTGAGTAGCGCCTGAGCCTCAGATTTGTTGCATCAGAAGGGGAGAGGGCTGGGATGTTAATCCAACATTCACTCCTGGTGGTCACTAAAGGCACCTGCAGGGAGCTCCCCCTATCCTGAATACCCCTGCCTCAACAGAGCAGCCTCTTGACTTTGGCAAAAGCTCTTGGGCAAAAGGAAGGTACCATTGCCCACAGTTACCAGCTGAGGGCTTAGGGCAAGCAGTCACTGCCCTTTCTGAGCCTCTCCATTACCTCCATGTGGAACACTGGGTCCAGAGAGGCATAGGTAATCCAGCAGCCAGCCAGTGGAGCATGCCAGGCCCAAGGTCTCGTACGATTACCAGGCCCCCCCTTGGCAGCTCAAGCAACTCCTGTACACTGGATGGGTGCCTCCACGCTACAGGGTGCACTGGGCTTAAAGGCCACAGGCCCAGGTGATCTTCTGAAAGGACTCTCTCTTGGCTGCCATAGAAACGTGTGACCTAAAGGCAAGGGTGGCCACTCTGGAAGGAGACCTGAAGCAACAGCAGAAGTCCATGCAGGCCATAGGTAAGAAGCCCCTTTGTGAGGCTCCAACTCATTGTATAGCTGGACATGTACCTCTGCTTCCATTCCAAGCTCCTAGGGCAAAGAGGGAACCGTAGGAGGATGGTTCTGACTCTATGCTGTCGGTGATGGTCCAAGCTCCAGTCTCAACCTCAGTGGGCAGAAAGTGCCTTCGTATCCTAGACCCACCCCTGGGGTCCAGAGCCCCATGCTGTGATCTGGGCTTCAGATCTGTGATATGACCCTCCCTAGCCCCAGTCAGAGACTCGCCTAGAGCTCCCTTACCCCACCCCTTTGCACCTGCTCGCTCGCTCGCTCACCCCTGCAGTGGCGAAGGCCCAGCAGCTGGAGGAGGAAGGTGAGCGGAGGGCAGCAGCTGAGAGGCAAGTGCAGCAGCTGGAGGAGCAAGTGCAGCTGCTGGCAGGGCGGCTGGATGGGGCTGGGCAGCAGATCCGCTGGGCCAGCACAGAGCTGGACAAGGAGAAGGCTCGAGTCGACAGCATGGTCCGTCATCAGGAGGTGAGGCCCGCAATCCAGGCTCTGCAGCCCTAACCCCTGTTCCCTGCCACAATAGGAGGAGGTAGATACTCCTGTTGTCCCCCATCTTATGAGTGGAGAAACTGAGGTGTGGTGAGGTTAAAGAAGTTGTCCCAGGCTACACAGCTGCCGAGAGGCAGAACCAGGTCATCACATTCAATGGATGCCAGGGTATTTGGGCTTCAGGGATACAGGGAGATATGACACTGATGACTTGATGAAAAGAAACAAAACCTGTTTCCCAGAATCCTTTCTGAGTGGGAGCTGTACGAGTGGAAAAAGGGGGTCACTCAGCCGCTTTCTGAACAGTGGGCCCTGGTGTGTCCCGACTGCATGCCCGTCGGCCTGCTACCTTCCTCTGCATCCCAACATAGCACGGAGGGCCATGGGCACCACACCACAGCCTCCTTAGTCCCAGGTGACTAGTTTGGCCCCAAGGTCCTTTCATCTGCCCTGCCTATCCATTCCCATTTAGTCCCTGCAGGCCAAGCAGAGGACTTTGCTCCAGCAGCTGGACAGTCTGGACCAAGAGCGCGAAGAGCTGCGGGGAAGTCTGGATGAGGCTGAGGTCCTGCGGGCTGAATTGGAAGAAAAGTTGCAGAGCCTACAGAATGACAGGGAACAGGGACAGTGCCAGCTACAGGCCCAGCAGGTGCAGTGGGGTAGGGTAAAGGAGAGGACAGTCTGAGGAGCCTCTAACCTATTGAGTGTTCCTGGGCCTGTGTCCCCCAGGGAACTTAGAGGCAGGGCTGAGCTTTTCTTTGCTCCAGGAACTGCTGCAGAGCCTACAGCAGGAGAAACAGGACCTGGAGCAGGTAACGACAGACCTACAGTTGACCATCTCACAGCTGCGACGGGAGCTAGAGGGGCTGAAGGAGCGGGAGCGACTGCTGGTGACCTTCCCCGACCTGCACCAGCACACGGAGGCCCAGATCCAAAGTACGGGCCTGGGGTACTGCTGAGGGCAGGGTGGGGCCTGGTTGGGCATAGGGCTTGCCTGGATGTGACCTAGTACTGTTGTCTCCCTCAGCAAGAGGAGATTGGGGACAGGAGGGTGACCTGTGTGGTTCTAGAGATGCCATGACCCACAAGCGTTTTGCATGTTGTGCACCTCTCTGTGGAGATAACATACAAATACCCATATGCAAAGTGACTGCACCTTTGACCCCAGCACAGTGGGTCTCAACTTTTGTAATGCTGTGACCTTCAATACAGTTCCTCATGTTGTAGTGACCCCAACCATAAAATTATTTTTACTGCTACTTCATAACTGCAATTCTGCCATTGTTGTGATTTATAATGTGAGTATCTGATATGTGACATCTGTGAGTCACTTGACCCCCAGGTTGAGAACAGCTGCCCTAGTAGAATTCAGGCACGTGTTCCTTCACTCGCATGCCAGGCCTGTTCAGCTTCCCCGGGTTTCCTTTCCTGGTGTCCTACACCACGGGGGCGTTTTCCGGGGTATATCCCCTGAGCTGTTCAGTGTCTTGGACCCAATGGTTAGGAGCGCAGGACACCTACACTGGCACAGGTTCCTGTCAGGCAATTTCTGTTCTGCGGCCATCATTTCTAGACTTCTGAGGCCCTGGGATAGATGAATCCCTCCCCAGAGCTATCAGGAGGTCCACTGTAGCTCAGCAGGTCCCAGCAGTGAGTTGTCACTCCTGAGTACTAAGTGCCAGGCCTTTCTGCTGCCCACAACTGCCTCATGAGTCTCACCTCGACTCTCTTGTTAAAAACCTTTTTTGTACATGTGTTTTGTGTGTATGCACCTGCCACAGCACAGGTGTGCTCAGAAGATGACTGTGGAAGTTGGTTCTCTCCTTTTGCCATATGGGTCCATGGACAAAACTCAGATGGCCAGGCTTGGTCTCAAAATCTGTCCTAACTTGCCAAGTCATCTCATCAGCCCTACAAACGTTTTTTGTTTTGTTTTGTTTTTGTGTACGGATGTTTTGGCTACATATATGTCTATGCACTATGCTGGTGGCTGGTACCTGAAGGCCAGAAGTTGGGGTAGATCCTGTGGAACTGGAGTTAGGTGGATGTGAGCTTACTATGTGGGTGCTAGGAATTGAACCCCAGTCCTCTGAAAGAACAGCTAGTGCTCTTATTCACTGAGCCATCTCTCCAGCCCAACAACCTTCTTATAAACCAGGAAACTGAGCTCTGCCGTGGGCATCAGCTTGCTCAGTTGTATAGGGCTGGAAGTTGTCCTCCATCAACCACACAGTCTAAGGAATAACATACAAGATGACTTCCTGTGACTCAAATCCCAGTGTACCTTTGCACAACCTATAGTACCTCTCTGAGAGGCCAAAGACAAGTGGTCTTGAATAAGACCCTCCCTTCCTTTGATTTATTTACATATTTTATGTGTATGAGTGCTTTGTCTGCATGTACATCTACACACCAGAAGAGTGCATCAGATGCCATGAAAGATAGTTGTGAGCCACCATGGTGGCTGGGAATTGAACTCAGGACCTCTGAAGGAGCAACCTGTGCTCTTAACCACTAAGCCATCTCTCCAACCCTAAGATCCATTCTTTTACTCAGTATCCAAACCTGCAAGTCAGAGGACTTACTCAGCTCTCAAATTCTAAAATGTAACATCACCTTCACAGTGGGTGGCAATAGGAAGGGAACAAAAGCCTCAGAAGGAAGATGTGATGGGATGCCTGGGTGCCACCCCTACCCAGTCCAGTTGGATACAAGAGGCAGGCCCAGTGAGATGAGGCCCCAAATATGTCTTTGCAGGCTCTGGCAATGTCACCTATGACATGGAGAAGCAAGTGCAAGCCAATGATATCCGTATCCAGGTCCTCCAGGAAGAGAACAGGCGACTCCAGTCAATGCTGACCAAAATCCGAGAGGTGGCCCAACAGGGAGGCCTCAAAGTGAGCCTTTGAGGGGGCTTGAGTATTTGGAAAGGGTCCTTACCAGGCAGGATTTGAGACTGTGCTATAGGATCATGCCTCATGGCATGTGGCTTTAGGTACGATACTGAGAGATGGAGCCTTACAGCTCACAATCCCACTATAGTCCCACATTCTTTTATATCAAAAGTTAATATGTATTGCTTGCCCAAGGGTTTACAGCTGATCATGGCCCTTGGATGGCTTTGCAAGCCCTGTTTCTTAGTGAATCAGGTTTGGTTGGAGATTCTGTCTTGCCAATCATCTTATGACATGCTCTGTAATGTGGGGAGGGACTCCTGGGCCCTTTTGAGCTTGACCTTCTTTGCAGATGATCCCGCAGGGTCAGCTCTGGTCCCCTCCCTACAAGGACACCCAGGGAGAGGTATCCCCAGCCCAGGCACAGAGTACATCTCCAGGGTGAGTAAGGCTTTCCTTGAGGTCGGGCAGGTAAGTGGTAGGGTCCCCTTGATCACGGGGAATTTTTGTGTTCTGGTCCTCCCTCAGGCCCATGGGCAGACGGCAGTCTCCTGGCGGCAGGACAAGCAGTACAGGCAGGGCCCATCCAGGGGGGCCCCGAGCATCCCCTTCTCGGCAGCCCTGCAGCTGGCCCAGCAAGTCCTCTTTGGAGGACAGAACCTACTCAGCCACCTGCACCCAAAACCCCATTCGGGCTTTGGCCAGACTCAGGAGGAAACTCTCACCGAACCGAGGTCAGGCTGGCTCTATATACCAGCCCCAGGAGCGGCCCACATAACCTGAAGCCAGGGGTAGGACTGGAGGGCAGGTGGTTAGCAACCCCCCATGGAATAAAAGCCCCGGCCATCTGCCCACGGTGATCTTGGCCTCAGCGTGGCTGAGCTGGGGGAACAGACCTTCCCTCCTTGTTGGACAAAGGCCTCTGTGACCCTACCAGGCAGGTCACTGGCCAATAGAAGCTTGCCATTGAGTGGGAGCTCCTTGTCTCCATCCTGATAGGCGCTGTACAGGGAGAGTACATGGAGGGCAGCACCTGAGCCATGAAAAAGGCTGAGGGGTAACCCTGGGTTCACTGAGCAGCACTCAGGGTAGGGCTCGGGGTGTGAGCACATCTGAAACAAGGAACCAGAGGCCAGGACCTTGCCTCTGCTCCAGCAAGGGAGGCAGAGAACAGCAGCGCCTTTTCCTTCCACCTTGTTTCTGCATCTGGTGCAACCCAAGGTCGCCAGGCACCTCACCAAGGAGCATGAAGCCTTTAGGGACAAGTAAGAGGCTCCTCTGAAGTCGTAGAGGTCAGAGCCTCACAAAACCACCAAAGGAAAACCCAGGCCTCGGGACACCTTAGCCAGCCATGGTTTGATGAACAATAGGCCGGGGCTCATCCAGTTCAGGGTGACATAAGACCAGGCAAGGATGTGCCAGCCACACCATGCACACAGTGGTCACTCATCTAAGCAGGCCACTAGCCTGCCTCCAGTCACCTTGTTCGTGAAGGACAGGCTCCAAATTCTTCCTGAGGATTTCTAAGGTCTCCCTCTCCTGGCCTTCTGGGTGGCATTATTTTTATGTGACGAGGAGGCCGTCAGGTTGAGTGCCTCAGCTGACAGTGAAGGTCAGTGCAAGTCGCATGTGCAGTGAGCTGGCATTGTCAGGTCTCCCAACTCTCTTCACGGCCCCAGGTTTCCAGAGGAAACTGGATGCTCTGGCCACTCTACCGGGGAGACAGCCAGCTTTGGACACAGCTCCCTGAGAGGCCATTACTGCTGAGCATCCCAGGCCTCCACTGACCCAGCAGCCACTTCTTAGCTCTCACTTCTGCCACTTGGTAAGCCAGACCCTTCCCAAACAGGAGGACTGAGAGTTTGAGGCTAGCCTATGCTATACAGGGAGCCCTGACTCAGACAGACAGAGAATTATAGGAAACAAGCAAAAAGTCCAGAAAAGTCCAGGTTGTTTGGTCAGGTCCTCTGCCCAGAGGTCAAAATGAAGGTATCTCTCAGGTGTTTCCTTTAGATGGCTCTGGGGAAAGGCCTCTTACGAGCTCCCGGCAGAGGCAGAGCTTGATCCCTAGGCTTAGACTGTGGAGATGAGGTCCTCACTGCCAAGCTGCTCCCTAGGCTTAGACTGTGGAGATGAGGTCCTCACTGCCAAGCTGCTCCCTAGGCTTAGACTGTGGAGATGAGGTCCTCACTGCCAAGCTGCTCCACCTTGACCTCCTATTTGCACATCCATCTTCAAGAAGGCAGCACAGCCAGGCGGTGGTAGCGCACACCTTCAATCCCAGCACTCAGGAGGCAGAGGCAGAGTGAGAAAGCTTCAGGACAGCAGAGGGCTACATAAAGACCCTGCTGAGAGAGAGACAGGCAGACAGAGAGCATGCAGCAGAGAATGTGTCTCCCACGTGGATCCCCTACAGTCTCTGACTTGCTATTGCTCTCCACAGGCTCATAAGTTGTCCAGATGCCTGCCTCACTCTCTTGTTGTTACTGTTTAGGGTTAGGAATTGAATTCAGGGTCTTGTGCATTTTAGGCAAGTGCTCTACCAGTGAGCCATGCCCCCAGCCCTTGCCTTTCTCATCTGAAGGTCATTTAACAAACCTACTCACAGGGTTTAAAACTTCTTAGAGTTAGTGTTCTAAAGCTTATGCAAGGCATGTTCATGCAGCAGAGGAATGCAAAAACCTTAAGGACTGTAAGAATTCTCCCTGTTCCAAGCAAGAGAAGCCAAGGTGGCTGCTATTTTGTTTGATTGTTTTTGAGAGGCGCCCAGGCTGACCTCAAACTCACTATGCAGCTGAGGGTGATCTTGAACTCTTGATCCTCTGTTTTCCCCTCTCAAGTGGTGAGGACCTTCCCAAAGGCCAAGGTACAAAGGAATTACATGTACTGTCCAGTAGCCCAGTTTGGCCTTGAACTTCTTTTATTTTTAATATCTATCTATCTATCTATCTATCTATCTATCTATCTATCATTTACTATTTTTGGTTTTTCAAGACAGGGTTTCTCTGTGTATCCTTGGCTGTCCCAGAACTCACTCTGTAGACCAGGCTGGCCTTGAACTCAGAGATTCGCCTGCCTCTGCCTCCCCAGTACTGGGATTAAAGGGATGCACCATTAGGCCTAGCTGGCCTTGAACTCTTAAATTCTCTTGCCTCCACTTGAGGTTTCTGGGATTATTGGCATATGCCACCACATTCCCATTTCTTAACATCTTACAACAGCTGCACAGATTTTATGTCTTATGTTAAAATATAATCCGTGTTTATTTTACTATTAAAACTTCCCTACCCAAATTTTTTTTAAATGATGCCCTTGGTAGATGCACCACATATGTTCTGTGGCTTCAAGTATCCTGGTCAGTAACATTTAGCCCAACCAAGAAATACAGCACTAGATGGTTTCTAAGGCCTCTGATCCTAGCCAGACTGGGGTCATCTGGCTGGACAGGCAGCAGGTAGTAGAAGAGTCTCATTTGAATGTCATACCTTTGATTTGACCAGACTATAGCCCAAAAGATGAATCATGCCAGTGGGTTCTATGGCCACACATCTTTTCCCTCAATAAATAGCATAAAATTCAATCACGGAAGCCCCAGAATGCTGGAGACAGATGTTGTGGCCATGTTTTCTTTCTCCAGAGTCCTGAGAGCTGCCTATAAGGGCAGACACAGATATCCCAGGGTTGCAGGGAAGGGCTCTAATGATTTCTCCTTGCCTGGTGGTCCTGGCTCTGTGTCTTCAGCCTGGGGCCATGAGTCCCTCTTACCCATCATGGGTATGGTATGGTGGGGCCTAGACTTTGCCCACAGGGCTAGCTCGTCTGTCCAAGCCACCATCCTATAGTATAGGCTGGGAAGGGTCCATCCCAAAGTGTGGAATCTCCACTTGGGCAGTTACTCATCTGAGTAGTGGTTCCCTGTAGGAGAGAAAGAAGATCAGGGAGAGAGGAATCAGGTTGGGCTTCAGGGTTAGCCCTGGACACCCCCCAGCCCCTGATGCTTACCCAGGACATTGAACTTGCACAGTGGGCAGGTCTGCTGTAGCATCAGCCAGGGATCCACGCAGTCTCGGTGGAACTCATGCTTACAGGGCAATACCCGGAGCCACTGCAGGGTGGGGGAGAGGCACGAGCTATAGATGGGGGTAGGCACGTGCCCTTCTCACTGAGCACTCTTGGGCCTTCCCAAGGTATGCTCTTGGTAGCCATAATGAGGACTGAAAGAAGGTCCTAGTGGGAGTGCTGAGGGTCTTGGGAGCAGGATCTGGGATGCCACAGGTCAGCTGGCAGCTGACCTTGCCAAGGCACTAACCTGCTTGTTACAGAAGTTATCTAGACAAACAGCGCACGTCTCCATGCCAGGCTCTGGAAGGCTGTGTGCTGCCCTGCTCAACCGGCAGCGCCGGGTCTTGAGGGACGCTAGTCTCCGAACCACACGGCGTTTGAACAAATCCCCCTGTGGGAAAAGGATGGCCACAGTCTTGCAGGCCCAAGGGCTGTGGGCACAAGAGCTTCCACAATTTGGCTCCCACCTGGCCTCCAGGCTCCTGCTGGTTCTGTCTCGATGCCTGCCGCTGGGCCTGAACCACAAGGCCTGTGCACAAGAGCATGGCCACAAGCAAGATGGCATTCCACAGCTGCTGCAGGGGCTTCTGGAGAGAGAGGAGATGTCAGGGGCACTGGGGCTGCTCCACATGCTTCCCCCAGGAATAGCCACCCCATGAACTCTAGTGACAAAGCAGGTGACATGTACTGAGGACCCTGTGTCTTACATCTCTATGCCACCCACCTATGTGCTCCTCACGGTCTACCCCAGCGGCATGGAGAGCCACATCTGCCCTTAGTGCCCTGCTACTCTGTTCCCGGCATAGATTTCTCCTGGTCTGCTCTCAGTCCCTGCCACCCTACACGTGCCTTCATCTAAGCTGATGTCCACGCCTGGAATTGCAGAAGAAGCTGGTATGCTTCCATCCTGCGGTCATTTTTCTCTTCAGCCACCAGCACACAGCCCCAGGGACTTCAGTGGCAGACTGACGACGCCACGCCCTCCTTCACTGGCTTGTCCCTTGCCATGTCCATGCCCTGCCACTTCCCCATCTTGAAAATTGTTTTTCCTTGCCCTTGCCTCTCACCTTTGGCTTACTGCTGCAGGAGCATTGCCCCTCAGGGTAAGTGTTCCCCCTGCCCAGCCCTCCTAATACCCACTGACCTCAGGCTTCCTTGCCGCTGCCCTGGGCAGTCCTCAAGGCCCTTTCACTGGTTGAGAACTAATGATATGGTGACACTGCAGGCCCAGCCTCTGTGGAATGAAACTGGAGTGGCAGGGTGGGCGAGCCACTCGGGCTCTCCCCCAGAGGTGCACCATGTCCCATGCGGGCTCTCCCCCAGAGGTGCACCATGTCCCACGCGGGCTCTCCCCCACAGGTGCACCATGTCCCACGCGGGCTCTCCCCCAGAGGTGCACCATGTCCCACGCGGGCTCTCCCCCACAGGTGCACCATGTCACCACTTGGGCTCTCCCCCAGAGGTGCACCATGTCCCACGCGGGCTCTCCCCCACAGGTGCACCATGTCCCACGCGGGCTCTCCCCCAGAGGTACACCATGTCCCACGCGGGCTCTCCCCCACAGGTGCACCATGTCCCACGCAGGCTCTCCCCCACAGGTGCACCATGTCACCACGCGGGCTCTCCCCCACAGGTGCACCATGTCCCACGCGGGCTCTCCCCCACAGGTGCACCATGTCACCACGCGGGCTCTCCCCCACAGGTGCACCATGTCACCACGCGGGCTCTTCCCCACAGGTGCACCATGTCACCACGCGGGCTCTCCCCCACAGGTGCACCATGTCACCACTCGGGCTCTCCCCCACAGGTGCACCATGTCACCACGCGGGCTCTCCCCCACAGGTGCACCATGTCACCACGCGGGCTCTCCCCCACAGGTGCACCATGTCCCACGCGGGCTCTCCCCCA